GGGGGAGACCCCAGGCAAGCGCATGCATGGCTGTTCTCTGGTGCCCAAAACCTTGGGGAGCAGAAATGCTGTTAATCACGGATGAGGGCAAAGCGGGATCACTGCATGGCCCTGAAATCCCCTGCAGCCCCCTCAGGTTTGGTGGCCTGGAGCACCCACCAGAGGGTTGGGTCAGGCTGCAATCCCCAGCCCAGATCAGAGAGGGGATCTGGGAGCTGCAAATTGCATGGAGAAACAGATTTTCATGCATGGTTGGGGGAAATAATTAAAGAGGAGAGAAGAAAACAAAACAAAACAAAAGGCATAAAGCAGCTCAATAAATTCTGCAGATGCCAACTGCCGCCGCCCTGCCCGCGCTGCTGCCTTTCCCGGGGCTTTTGTTTCTTGCCTCTCTTTCTTCGCTTGCCAAAAATAGCCCGTGGGATTCAGACGTGAGGTAGTGCGTGGGAGGGGAGGAGATGCGACTGCTACCATCCAGCTGTGGCCTTCTCCTGAGCGTCTTTGTTCTCCTCCCTGGCCCTGCCCGGTGCCACAGCGGGCGCAGGTTTCTTCTCCCCGTGGAAAGTTTGAAGGTCATCAATACATTGATTTTTCCCTTGACGTGGGGCCTCTCTTGTCACTCCTCGGGCTGTGGATTTTATGGTGTATGAACTGATTTTTTTTTTTTTTTTCTTCTTTCTGAGTAAAGAAGGGAGAAGGGGATGTGAGCATGATGAGTACGTGGGGCGCATCGGCAGGACTGGCATGGGGGGGGTCACGGATGAGTAGCAGCAGGGGCAAGCATGGTCATCTTGACATGGATTAAAACACACTGAACTCACTGGGAAAAAAGCATTTTTTTTGTTTTATATAAGAAATGAGATTTTGTATTGTTGTTTTCCTCAAAAAACTTGGTTGGTTTCCAAGCAGGGTCTCACCAGCTTGTGCCGCTGAGCATGAGCTGGAGGACAGCCGGCCACATGCTGCATGGCTGTGCACGGTGGCTGCTTGGGTGACAAGCCTGTCGTAGCATCTCTGTGCACTACTTTGGGGTCTGTCTTTCTTTTTATCCCCCTCCCCAGTTAGGCACTGTGTGCCTGGGTGCCAGCCTTGCTCCCTGCCAGCTCCCCCCAGCCCTTTCCGCTGGTTGGGGCAGGGTCCCCATCAGCAGGGTCTCCATCTCTTTCTAGGAGCTGCCTCCATCTCTTCTAGGAGACCAAACCTGTTGCATGCACCCCTGCCTAGGGGGCAAGGGAGATTTCTCCCCCTTTCGATTTGGGCTCGGGGGCACTTGTGCTGTGGAGCGGTGCTGCACTGGGATGCTCAGCAGGAGCAGTCCCCTGCAAACGGGCACCTCCAGGGCATCCCCAGCTGCAGCAGTGTTTTGGGCTGTGCAAGTTAAGCTGTTTGGGGGTTGTTTTTCTGTTTTTTTCACATTGACGGTCATTTGGAGCCAAACTCTGTTGCTTGGAGGATGCTGGTGCTGCCTGTGTTGGAGTCGGGATGTGCAAAGGGGCTGTTTGGGAGCTGGTGTAAGAAAAGGGGCCAAAGAGGCCCCAGATTGAGTGGGAGAGCAGGATGGAGGGTCTCTGGTTAAGGCCTGGATCTGGCCTCATGGGGACCTGGGAGGGGAGATGCTCCTGCCAAAATGAGCCCGTGGAATGCTTCCTCCTTGCTCTTCCTCCCAGTGCAGGCTCTGGGGCGCTCGGGTCCGGATGCAGCTCTGCAATAATTCCCCAAAACACCACTTGTTCCTGAGGCTGGTGTTTCTTTTTTGCTTGCTCTTTTTCCTGCCCCAACCGATGTATTTGGGGAGGGAGAGCAGGGTCCGGCCCTCCTGCCCTCGATCCTCCCGCTTTGGCTGTGGGCTGAGAGTGTGGTGTGCCTCTACCGAAGAGTTAAAAATACCAGCATGCAGGAGAGGTCTTGTCCAAGCGGTAGACCAAAGGAAATCCTGTCACCACGCCTAATCTCCAGAAAAAAACATGCACTAACTAAAAAAAAAAAATAAAAAATAATAATCTCAAACAGACAGGAAGTCACTTATCTACAGCAACCTGCTGGTGCAGCGGAGAGCAGCTGGCTCTCCATAAAGCATCCTTGTTAGCAGAGGGCACGCAGGGCTCGAGGGATGGAAATGCATCTCCTTCCCCTGGGACCAGGCACCCCTCCCTGCTGCAGGTCCGGGTGATGGTGGGAGCAACAGCCCAAGTGCCAGCATCACCATTTGTACCAGTATCCCTGCCAGCATCCAGTAGATCGGAGGGTGGATGGTGCAGCCACGGGCATACTGAGCAAGTCGGGGATGCCCGGAGCGAGCACCGGCTTTGTTTTCATGGCAGAAACAAAGGAAGCAGCACCGAGAGCTAAGAAGCAATTTTTATCCTTCTTTATTTGTTGAAAATGTCAATTAAAAAATTGTTCAAAATAAAAACATGTTAGAAAAGTTGAACTTGCATAAGTAGTTACAGTGAATAAACCTACATGACAAAGATAAACTGGAAGGCAGCTGACACAACATCCATCTAAAGACAGACTCACTGGAACCTATTTACAAAGCACTGTAAACAAAGTAAATATGGAAACATTGCTGTCCATCTGGCATGGCTTCTTTTCCTTTTTATTTTATTTTCTTGTCTTTTTTGGCTTCTAGCTCTTGACAAACGCTTGATCCAAAATGTCCCAGTGTGCCCTTCATCACATCATTACACCTTACATGCATATGTACACAGCACAGGTTTCAACTAAACCAGGGGGCAGCAGGGAAACATTTCTACCCCCTCCTAGGAGCGTAAATGACCCTTGGTTTGCTTCCTTGCACTGGCTGCACGTCAGGAGCCCGGTCCCCAGCCAGCCTTTGGGCCAGCAGCTGGACCAGACAACGCTGGGGTGTCCGGGGTCAGCATCCCAGAAGAGTGGCATGAGCTGCTCAGTCTGCAGCAAATGCTGTTATCCTGGAAAACCATTAACCAGCACAGTAGGGCTTGACTGCTGACCAAACCACCCAACTACATGCCTGGGTGGGGATGCGGGGGGCTGCCATCCATCCGGGACGCTCCAGAGATGGCAAATATAGCCAGAGCAAAAAAGTTTTGTCCTGGAAACAGCTTAGATGTAAAGAGGGTCTCTTTTTACGCTCCTTGTGCTGTTTTAGAGTCTAGCCCTCCCCCAAACACCATTTGCTATGTTCAGGCTAAATTTTAATTGCAAGGAGGGAGTTGTAATTATTGCCTCTATTATGTCCTTCATGACCAACATAACGGTATGACTGTAATGAGCTGTGGTGTGTCTGCACACCCCGGGACCACGCTGCCCTGTGATATCCGTAAGACTTATCATTAACAGAACGTTACTTTTATAATGCTGCTAAGGAAGGAAGGAAAATATCAGTCCTAAACTAGGGTGTAACACCAAGTAAGATTAGGATAGCCAATACATATGCATGTCGCCTGTGTGCTGTGCTCGAGGAGCTGTGCAGGGATCTGAAAGGGTGTTGCACATCCTTGCCCTGGGAGTGTTCCAGCTCTTGTCAAAGCATAAATTGCTTTCCTATCCCAAGAGAAAATTCCTTTTTTCCTAGCAGAAGGCCCCTTTGGGGCGACAGGGGGAGAAGTGGTCGTTGACTATGTTCCCAGCCTTCAGGAAGGGGACATGGAGAGCCTGTCGTGGGCAGAAGAGAGCAGGGAACCAGCACATTTGGGGGTTGTTTTTGTTGTCAAGCAGTGTTTACACTTCATAAAAGAGAAAAGCACGTCCTGCGTGGGGAAGCACAGCAAAACTATAAACTCATACGATACCTGGACACTCAATGTGAAAACAAAGCAGGGGGCAGGAGTTACAGGTCATGCGTAAGGAAAGGGATGGGGGGGCAGAACAGCAGTTACCTGTTGTGCTAATCTTGAGCTGTTAGGAGGCAGTACTGTGCAACACACCTTCCCATGCGCTCCGACAGGTGCTCCAGATCTGACTTCCCCAAGGAGTTCAAATGTCTTCATGTTAATTGCACATTTTAATCAGTATCAAGGCCACACGGGAACCACAGTATTGCTGGGCTCTAGTTCGCTACAGTCAACTAATGGGGAAAAAGAAGGTGGATGGGAAAAGCTTCCCCAGTTGTGATTATCTGAAAAGAGGAGCATGGTGCTTTTTGGTTTCTGCTCAATGCCACCTCAATAATGTTTTCATTCAGTAAATAGGTACCGGTGCTTTTGAAAAGAATGAAAGCATTAAAAAGTGCTTAAGCTTCCTCTAGGAAACTGCTGCCAAACCCTTTGCGAGCAGCAATCATTAGCAGAGTTTATATTTGCTCCCAGTAGCAGGTACGATGAGGTATTAGTTGCTGCAGATGAATTGTGAATCATGGACCGCTTGCTTACTGGTTTAGTTGTGATCGATTGTTTCTGGTTTATTTCCTTATTGGATGAAGAAAAAACTTTTTTTTTTTTCCGCTATGACTTTTTTTTTTTGGTAACAAAATTCCCCAAACCACCAAAATAAGGAGCAAGAAGAGGCAAAGGATCCAGTTCTGCTTCCCAAAAAACACCTGAGGTCACACACCACTGCCAGCAGCTTCTCCCCGAATTCAGGCGATCAGGGATGACTTGCGCCCCATGTCCTCCCTGCCACACTCATCGGTCTGCTTCAGCAGCCTTCTAACCAGCTTCTCCAAGTCCTTCCTGGATTTAAGCTCTTCCTCCAAACACTGTTTCATCCTTTTGTTCTCCTGCGAGGGGAAAAATAATGGAATAAAGATGCAGTTAATGCCCACGCACTCGATGCAATGAGGTACTTGCACGCGCCTGGCTCCCTGGTGGCTCAGAGGTGATGACATCCCATGGACATTTGACAGGCTACTGCCGGCTCCTGAGGATGAACACCATGGGTTACTTGTGGGCTGATCAGCTCAAGCAGACCCTTACTACCTTACAGACCTGCACAGAACTCCCAGTGGCTTTGAGCAGGCAGAAGCATCCTCCTGGAAACCTAATTTTAGCCTGGGTTGGAGGATCCTGTTCTTCTGGGGTGGTCTCTCCCACCTCCGGCTTGGGGCCGGCGGGAGGAGGACGTATTTCCCCTGAGTCTACAAGAACGGGAATCCACCAGACCCAATAAAAGCAACAGTCAAGTCGAAATAGCTTTGAGAGTAGGGGAAAGTCTCATGTTATGACAAAGACCAATTACTCCTTCCCTCCTGCTGGCTCTGGTGCTCAAGGGACTGCATGGTGAGCTGATCCAGGGAGCTAAACCAGAAGAAAACTAATGCTGATTCAGGGAGCTGCAGGATCGCACCAGCATCAGCAAGACTTTCCTGGGTGCTGATCAGTCGAAGACAACAACCTGGCACAGCCAGCACAAACACAAGCACTCAAATTACCTGCTTCAGTTCTTTGACTTCATCTTTCAGTGCATAAACCGTGTCAACAAGGCTCCTGCAAAAAGAAATGCAAAAAAAAAGAAATAAAATGAGCTGGAGTGCAGCAAAACAGCAACAGCATGGGAGCTTTTGTGAGCGAGGCGCTGATGGGGAAGAAGATGCTTCCAGCTTTTGCTTTGAGGGGACTCTGCAAACACAGGCCAGGAGCATTTATAGGCCACCGGTCCAAAACTTGGGGCTCTTTTCTCAAACTCAAGAAAAATACCTTGTTCTTTAAGTTATCAACAAAGGTCTGTGGCTTTGGCTTCCTTGTTTATGCTACTGCAATAAGTAACAATGATTTTAAAACTGGAAATGCCTGAGCATCTTTTGTAAAACGGCCTTGGTTCCTTGAGGTTATGCTGCAAAAAACCAAACATGAAAGGAATGCACTGTCTGGGTTAGAAAAGGAGCGGATCAACGCAGTCACCTAGATGCTGAAGGTATAAAACAGGCTGGGGGCGCTCACAAACAGCATCCCCCGGCTGTCAGGCAGGCTCCCGAGGGGTAGCAGCAGCCCAGTTTGTCAGTAGTTAAAAACAAACAAACAAAAAAAAGCCACTTGTTTGGTTCTGTCTTCCCTGACCCCATTAGCTCCACCCGGATAAGCTCTGGGACTTGAAAAACTGTCTCTGGGGACCCAGCACACAGACTCCCAGAAGGCTTCAGAGCAGCTGGGAAGGCGGCTCTGTTCTTAAAAAGGGACAAAATGCAACTGAAATAGCCCAGTGGTTCTCACCAGGGCTACGGCAGCAGCCGGTGACCCCAGCCCTGCTCCTCTGCAGAGATGCAGAAGGGCAGCGCATTCGTTTTTGATGCCCTTCCCAAAAGCGACATGGGAATCTGCAAGTGGAGAGCAGCCGCGCTTACTTTTCCTCTGTGACGGTCTGGCCGTTGCTTCGCGTTTCCTCTATGATGATTTTCTCTTCCTCGGGAAGAAGGACTTGGGGGATGGAGTCTTTACGGGAGCCTGTGTACAAGAATTACTCATCAGGAAGCAAAAGGGAGACTTTCTCCGATGCCCACGCCGCTCTGGAGACGGCAGCCCTCTGCAAGACGTGGGGGCTTGAGCAGCCGCCGGCTACCTGCCACGGTGAAATACGGGCTTGTACGTGCTGCTACCCTGGAGCTAAAGCAGCAAGTGGAAAGTTTTCACGAGTGCTCGTGGCATCTAAAGCTACATCATGACTTTTAAATGAAATAATTTGATTAGGGGCAAGAGCTCTCAGAAGACACATGGCCTCCCTTTTTCAAATGTACCATTATTTGATAGTTCAGTGATTTAATTTGAAATCTCACCAGCAATGATAAATAGCTACATTTCCAGAGTTGAAGATGTTAGATAGGTTCTTATGAAGCAGCTTGTTCTTAAACACGCAGCTGATTGAGAGATAATATTCATGCTTCCTTTCTAAAGCTATATGCAACCTGAGATTACCATCAGGTTTTCAGTGCTGACAGCCACAGGCACTGACTGGGTTTGCTTAATTCCTAACAAGTGCTGGTGAAATAGCTGTGTCTCATCTGCCCTCCTACCTGCCTCATTCTCTGTGTTTAGAAGAAAAACAATGGCAACTAAACCACTAGGTAGATGAAGCTCCCTTATCTTGAAGATTGAACACCACACAGTTTCCTAGCATGAGTCTCATTGCTGTATGATGCAACCATCTGTTTTTTCCCAGAGGGGTTATCAATGTTGCAGGCAGAGTAAGAACTAAAACGTCTGGTTGTGGGCCCACCTGAGCTGAGAGCTTGCTGGAAGCCTGCCCCGGTACAGTACGCCTCGATCACCTTCAGGATCTGAGCATCTTCTTCCAGCGCAGCCGTACCTGTAAAATATTGTAGGACAACAGCTATCACAAAAAGCAAAGTGCTCTGGCTTCGTCTCTCCCAGCCTTTGCTCCCGAGTCCCTTAAGAGAAGAGCGTGCATTGCTCCCTTGACTGACACCATCTCTGGGGCTTTGCCCAATTCCTTTTTGAGGTCCTTTCTATTTTCTGGCCTTTGCAACATCCCGTGGCATTGAGCACCATGATTAAATGGTAGGAAAATGCACTTCCAGTTGCTCATCTTGGCAAAACTTGAGGGGTGATGCCTGAATTTGGGTGCAGGGAGCAGGGGGAGGCAGCGCAGCCCTGCTCGGAGGGGTCTGGTATAGCCACACCAGAGCACGACTTGGAAACGTGAAATCTTCATTTCCAGCCCTAGCTCAGCGCTGTCTTCTTGAGGGAGACAACAGACCTTCAGGCTGTACACCACAGCAGCTCACCTCCGGTGACCATGGCCTTTCATGCAGAACCCCCGAGGAGAGTCCCAGGTGGACTTCAGGGAGCTGTCGGGACATCGCTCTCTGCAGGTGAACACCCCTGCAGGGATGGGGTCTTTTTTTGTTTCCAGGTCCCCCATGGAAACTGTTTCAGGACCTGCTGGGGTGGCCAGGTGAGGGTTTGCCCCAGCTCTCAGATATATTTTGATGACCGCTGATGTGCAGTTTTACTGCAGCTTTTAACTACTACGAAGTGGTTCCTTGGCTTTGTAGCCAGAACAAGACCAGCCACAACCACATGAACTCGTGTTAGCAATCGCGAGGAGGGTGGTAGCATGCCTGGTAGTTGTAACCGGGAGGGGATCTGTCAGAAGCTGGGGACCAGTGGGCTTCCAGAGGCCTCCCATGCTCAGCAGCACGTAGGCCTGCTCACAACATGAGCATCCTGCCGCATCCTGCCCCGTAAGAAAGGCTGTTCTCAAAGTCCCATGGAGATTGCTGCATACACAGACACCTCCAAAATGAAGAGAAAAATACAACACTTACTTTTCCGAATAACAAACTCTTCATCAGATGGTTTTCTCTCCGTTTTCCTTTTTGGAAGAAACTTCTTCATTGTTTTTGGACTTTTGCTGGAATCCTATAGAGAAACAGACTCTTGTGTTTAACCAGATCCAAAGGCAGCTCAAAGCGTGGAGCAGCGCAGCTGAACGCAGCTCTCCACGTTACACACAACTCGTCAGAGAGCTACGGAGCAGACAACGACAACGGTGGGGAAAATGATGCTTTTTGCCTTTCCCATGCGCTAGCTGCAGCCCACAGCTCCTTGGGACAGCAGTGGGAATGGCACCTGCAGGTCTGCGACGGGACAAGCTCCTTCAGCGAATTCAACCGTCGGCTAAGATCCTTCAGCCAGAGCCTTCAAACACGTTCACAGCACTTTTAGCCTGCTTACCAGCTCTCTGCTCTTTGTTAGAAAAGCCCATAATGTTGTTTATTTCCATGACTCAATTTGATTTCTAATAGAAAACAGTTGGCAAATGACATTGTTTCCAAATGATTTGTTTAAGAGTATAAATCCCCACACACACATACACAGAGAACAAACAAATACGCACAAAGTTAGTGTTTGCTTGGACTCCACAAGTAAGAACCACGAGCGTTTATCTCCTTCACAGAGTTACGAGTCTTGCTGATTGGGGGAGAATTAGTGTATTAGTAGGTTACATGCAGTAGGGATTTTAAGCAGGAGAAGAGGCATGCCAGGAAGTTTTAGTACCACAATACTAAATCCTTCTTCAGAGTTATCTCAAAATGTATTTGCCAGTTGCCACTGACTCTCACAATAACTTACCGAGGCAGCCAGGCAAAATTAGGGTCATGCAAGCACGAGAAGCGTGAACAGAAACAAGCATTCTTTGCCACGATAAGCCAAAGAGATGTATCTACCCTTACCTTTAAGATATAAGACATCCTCTACAATGAATGAATATGCAAAGAAAGAGAAGATGAGTGTGAGAGATTGATGATTTTATTGACCAAGTCCATTAAATCCACAATACTAAAACACATTTAAATGTTAGTCTTGCGATTAATGTGGCACACCCTCCGTACTGGTTTTAGAGCACTGTCAACATGCAAAGGAGCACGGTGTCATGCAAAACTGAAAAAATTACATGTGAAACGCATGGTAAGTGGGCATTAATAGACTCTGAACACATCAGAATAGAGAACATGCCTCCTCGGTTAGTAGTAGGTTTCCATAGATGTTGGTTGTCTAAAACAGTGCTTAAAAATGCAGGATGTGTTGGTGCTAGCTAATGCTGCAGCCGCCCCGTGTGCCCAGGGAGCAGCCTGGGGCTGGCCCCCTGCTCAACACCAGGCCTACAGTCTTCAACCCAAGCCAGCCGGGATGATGGGATGCTCTGCCCACCCTGGTGACAATCTCCCTCTTCTCAAAGAGGACCTCCTCGGAGGGGATTTGCCATCCTCACTGGAGACCTGACAGCGTCTGGCATCAGCGCAGCAGCATCTCCCTGCTCCGCTGGCGGGACGGGGAGCTCCCTGCACACCCCGCGGAGGGTCCCATCCCTGGGATGCTCGGCACAGGGAGCCGCACGGCTCTCCTGCAGGTCTGGCCAGCAAAGTCGTGAATCCCGATGTTATAAACCCTTCACCTAATGCAAAGCAGACCACTTAAAAAAAAAAAAAAAAAAGAAGCAGAAGAAATCATCTGTAAATCTTTTTCACTTTGCTAACCTGAATCCGGACACACCGCTTTACCCACAGCACCTGCTCTGTCATTTCAAATGATTACTGGAAACAGAACAGGAAAAATGACCCAATTTCAATGGAAATAACAAGAGTGCTGTGCGGTGCACAAGCAGGTTCTGGGGTTTCCTGAGCACAGCTAGGTACAAGGAAATGCACAAAACTCCATCCCGGCCGACACGACCAGAAGCCAATTAAGTAACACTGGATGTCTGAAATTCTCTAATCTTTTAATCAAACTCCCCCACTGCCTTCCCTGCAAATCACCTTTGAAATTTGTATTCCTTCATTGTATCTTCATTATAGGAAGGTGACTCGCACCGAGCTGTTAGCATAGTTTATTTTGTGCCCTACTTTAATATAATAAAAAAAACAAACGCAAACCAGTGAAATAGGAGTTCTGCTTAGTGACTGAGCACCCCCGAGGGAGGGACGAGGCAGATGCAGATCTGTTTAGGCCAACAACTTAACTTATTTCACATTTGTCATCTCAGGCTCGTGTCCATGAGTCCCTCCCCTGAGAGGGGAGCTGCCCCACCAAGGCTCGGGCTGGACCGACCGGGTACCAGACTGTGCCTGCCCGGCTCTGCTCCAGCTTGGCTGGGGCTGTTGGCTTTTGGGTTTCCACCAACATGGCCAGCACAGACCTTCCCGTGCAAATCACTTTTTTGGTCCTTCGACACCTTGCACTACCATCCTGTCTGCAGCAGCATCCAGCTGCAGCAGCATCCCCGCCTGCTTGGCCTCCGTGGCAAAAACCTCTCGCCTGGTTTTGACACAGAGTTTAACTCATGCTGTGCACGGCAGGGGACAACTGAGAAACTGCGAAGGACCGTGATATTAATGGTATCACTCAATCTGTGGGTTCGGCCTACCTTGTAAACAAACATCAGCTTTGCACTTTGACGCAGAAAAATTTCTCCTCTAACTCAAGCCTCTTCCTATATTTTAATTCACCACACAAGCAAGAAATGGTTTAAGCTACGCTAGGGATTTGGACCGTGCAAAGATTAAGGGTGGTTTCCAGTCTGCTTCGTTGGTTTTTGAACGATTTAATTCCCAAACTGAAGTGCGTCGGTTTACAAATTTTATGAAGTAAGTGTAAAAAAAATGCCGTGAGGCTACCTAAAATCTCTACCTGGAGCAGCAGACCCACAGCCCCCCCGGCTGCCGGGCTCTCCATCCCTGAAGGGTGAGGAGCTGGGGGGGGTGCGAGCCCCCTCCTCGTCCCTGTCCCCACCGGGAGCCCGGGCAGTGCCGCTCCCAGGGCTGCTGTACCAAGAAAGGCGGCTGACTCAGAACCGGAGTGCTCATTCAGTAAGGGGAACGTTACCCGAGTTAATGGTGAGTAATCCCAAAAGTTTAACGTGAGGTAGGGAAGGAGAGCACTGCAGTTACAGCGGGGGGTGAGAATCGGAGCTGGGTTGTATTTTGGGTTTCCCCACGCCGCCTCCTACCTCCCAGGCTTGGGGCTTCTGCGGGGGAAGCGATCCCTCGGGCTGCTGCCTCCCAGCAGGGTACGGGCGTGTAAAACACTCGGGTGGGCGGCGAAGGAGGGTCGAGCCCTGCGGCCGCTGCAGGGAGCCCCGCTCCAGCCACCAAAACACAGGGTGGAAGACATGAGAAATATCAACAGGCTTTTCCCCCTCTTCCTCCTGGCGCAGCATTGCTGCTCAACCCTGCAGCGCCTGCCCACCTGGGCAGCGCCGAGCCGCTGCTGCGGCTCCTCCCGACGCAGCACGTCCCAGTAGGGAGCCCAGCTCCCACCCACGGCTTGGACCAAGGCAGGAGGAGGAGGAGGAGGGGAGGCAGCTCTAGCATGGCACTAATGGGATGTGCAAGGCTGCGGGACACCCTGCTGTGGGACCAGTCACATCCAGCAGCCAAGGGTGCTGGGTGCAGCAGCTGACAGCAGACATTGGGAATGGGACTGAGCCTGCAAACACACGTGCTTGTGCTTCACTTGTAGCAGAAAGCCAGCTGCAGCGACAGGCTTCCATCGCAGGACTGGGGCAGAGATGTTTCTCTCACCATCCCCATTAGCCTAAGCCTCTGTGCCCTCACTAAGGGGTAAGAACCTGGGCGCCAGCACGAGGGATTGCCATGAGACCACCGTCCTCTGGAGGCACGCGGGACCATTACCTCTTTGTAACTCAGCGCTGCCGACGGCCTGAGTGGAGGAGCAGGACGGAGGCAGCTCAAGCTCCAGGGCTTGAGGATTTTTGGGGGTTCCAGAGGCCCACGGATCTGTCCAGCTGAACTAAATGTCTGAGAAAATAGATAAGAAGCAAATGAAGACCGTTAGCCACCAAGCAATGCAGAGGAGGATGGACAAGAGTTCACTCCTTGAGACATCCAGGTTGCAACAAAAATAAGGGGGGATCCGTGCAAAATGCTACAAGCACGACACAGTTACCAGCAAAACCACAGGACGTGTCTTACTGCCGTACACATTACCTCGGTACCAAGGTGCGTTGCCGAAACAGGGAGATCAGGCAGCGCTGAGGAACCCCGGGCAGCAGGGGGGCTGGGGAGGCGAGACCCTTACCGAGTGAGCGCTCCAGGACTGCGTTTTGGATACGGTATTGCACGTCCCTTTGGTCAACCTTTGCAAGTGGTCAAGCCATTCGTGCAGGTCCTGGCTGGTGCTGCAGGACACAGTGATCCGCTCCGTCATGTTCCCTGTGGCAGAGGGTTGAGTAACCTTCTTTAGCAAGTGGTAGAGACCCAGGAGGAAACACAGGGGGAGCTCAACTCAACTGAGGGGGAGCTCTGCTCCATTTGCACAGCAGCAAACAGCTCCTCAGCTTGCAAAGTTCAGTGGCTGCAGAAGGCCAGTGCAAAGACGTGACTGCCCATCGCGCTCCGGGCACCCAGTGCCAGCCAGCGTGGGAGCAGCACAGAACAGCAAAGGGAACTGGCAGGAATTATTTAAGGTTAAAAGCAATTAAACGCACCATTTCAATGATGAACAGGACCCTGACACCAAATACCACCAGCACAAATAGCTGCACTGCAGCCAAGTCACTGAGCATGACAGCCGTGTATAGCTACACGTAATAAGATAAACTGAAGGGGGAAACTGGGAAGAACATTAGGAAAGCCACCTGATGACCAGAGACATTAATCTGTCAATAAACGAGGTGCTCACAGCTGGATGGGATGGACCCTGGGTGCAGACTGGGCACACACAGCACAGAGCAGGGCTGCTGGGGCCACCACCAGCCCTGGCAGATTTGTCCCGTAAGGAACATTATGGTCTCTGAAAGCAGCCCAGCGGCAGAGTGCTCGAGGGTACTGGGAGGAGGCTCCCTCAGTCAGGAGGGAGATGCTCAGGAGCTCAGACAACGCATGGTAAAAGAGCAAAAAGAAGAGCGTGGAGCGGTGGGTGGGGGGAGGAGGAGGACCAGTGCCTCCAGTGGCAGCTGCTGTTTGGACTGGGAGGATGTCCCCAGGCAGGGGCCACACTGACCTGCGATTTCAAACACGTGGTCGTTCCCTTCGGCATCTTCCAGCTTTGTCAGCGTCATTCCCGTCAAAGGCAGCTTTCCCTAGGAGAATTGAGGAGGAGTCAGTGCCTGCATCTGCTTCCCAGCAGGTGCTGTTCTGCTGGTTTCTGCTGATTCCGTTCTCTTTGGGAAATGCCATTAAAAACTAATTTGTGAAGGCTTCAGACTGCAGGAAGAGTCTCCTTTAATGTATGGATCTAGATTTCCCTGCACAACTGGGTCAAACCCCCAAGAAGAGCCTCCCATTACAACTGAGTCATCCCCAGCTCATCGGCCGCCCTTTTCCCTTCAAGAGGTGCACCCCCTTTTTACAACCACGTCAGGAGGATGAACTTCCCCTGTTTTTTCGGAAAGCCTGACCTGTCCCTCTGTTTTGCGTGCCAAACTGCCTGCTCACCTTTCTCCCGCTGGTGGGTAAAATCTAAAAACCCAGCCAAATCCTTCCCAAACCTTTTCCATCTCCCCCATCATCACCCTTGTGCAGGACGCATGAGACATCGACAGGAGAGCACCGCTTTCCCAGAGGGTACTGGTGCTTTCGACTGGAGCTCCCACCAGCCTGACTGCAGCCATTCCAATGGTAAAACACAAGAAATGCAGTGTTTTGGGGTGTCTCATGGAGTGGAAATTTTGGGGCTCTTTACAGTGGGCTGTATAGTAGTGAAGTATTGCCCAGAGATAGCCCAACCCTGAGAGCTGGCTGGCTGGTGGTGTGGGGCAAAACCCTACAGCTGGGTCAGGACACCTTACACACGCACGCAAAATTCTAGAGAACAGCATGTAGGACAACATGCTGCGAGGGTGGGTTTGGTTTGGGGATTTTTTCTCATTTCACAGCGTTCACACTTACTGAAAGCTGTTTAACCAGTTGGCAGGACGAAGGCACCAAGTGTCCTGGCAGGCACGGTAAAACCAAGCCCTTGGTTCCCAGCCTGGGGCATTTGCATTACAGCAGAGAGGTTTAGGGAAGCAGAGGATTTGAAGTTGATAAAAGCTATCTGATTTCCTTTTTCACACCTAACGCCCTGCAACTTCAAATTAAGCTTGTCTACCTGATAGATGAACCCACTCATCCGTGGGCTTGCAGACAGCATCAGCAAAACGTTTGAAAACAACAAGAAATATCGCTCTTCTTTCTCCTGCGGGGTTAAGAATTTAGGTTAGTCCAGTCTGCAATGCATCACAAGCACCTGCCTCCAGCAATCTGGACCTGCCGCAGCTGGAATCACAGCCTGCGAGAGATCACCCCCAAATCAATTATTTTGGCTTTTTTTTTTTTTTTTCTTTACAGCATCTCATTTCTGTACTAGTTTTTCCTGCCTACATTTTTGTCTGCATCCTGCTAATCCTCTTCCAATCATAATGGTCTGAAGTTGCGTAATGGTCTGAAGTTGCGCCAGGGCAGGTTTAGGTTGGACATTAGGAAAAATTTCTTCACCAATAGGGTTGTCAGGCTCTGGAATGGGCTGCCCAGGGAGGTGGTCGAGTCCCCATCCCCAGAGTTACTTAAAAGAAGGATAGATGAGGTGCTTAGGGACATGGTTTAGTGGTGGGATGGCAGGGTTAGGCTAACAGTTGGACTTGATGATCTTAAAGGGCTTTTCCAACCTAGACGATTCTGTGATTCTATGATTTCAGAGTGCCGCAGAAGACCAAGACTTTACATCCCCCAGCATCTCACGTCCCAAACACGACTCTGGACTCAGACTCTACAGGGCTTTGTTTTACAGGTCTTCCCTTCCCAGGGAAAAGTTGCTACAGCAAGTGAGCAATTCAGCGATAACGGGCCCTTTCCCCCACCAGACATGCAGTATGCATGGCTTTAACAGCGCTGGTGCAGGTCTTGTGGCAAGCCCTGGTGCAATGCTTTAGGACCAGCAGGACCGGAATCCCTCCAGTTATTTCCAAAGTGCAGTCAGCTCTGGAGAGGGACGTCACAGCAGCCACCGCGCTGTGCACAGGACGTGGCAAAATGGTTATGCTAATGTGCATTTTCAAGTCACTCTCATTTCTCAGAGTAAGTCACAGGGGAAAAGGAAGGAAATTCATGTGCTCTACGACACCGAGATGCTTCTTTTGCTTGAAAAGTGTGTCACCAAAAGCCTGAAGCTAAGCCCCTGGAGCGCCACGCGGTGCCTGACTCCAAAGATGTGCACTTTGAGCAGCTCTTGTCCAGGTAAAATTATTTATCAGCATTATTTGTCAGCACTTTGCTGGCCTGGGGTGAGAGAAGCTGCCCAGCGCCTTGCATCACTGATCCCATGAGGGTATTTGGACACAACGCCTTTAGCCAGGAGAAGGACCACCCCACTCACCTCACTTCCCCCGCACTGTACCATAACCTGGGACATGTAGATGATGTTCCCCATCGTTTTTATGTCCTCTCCTTCCCAGCGCTGGATGGATTCAGAAAGGATCTGCAGTTCCAGTTGTTTCCTCTTCCTCAGCTCTTGGCATTGCGACTGGGAATCACAGCAGGGCGCTTCGTTAGCCGAAGGGCAAGCGCAAACCCAGACCATCCTAATGAAGATGGTTTCACCAGCAACGCTCCCACACAGCCATGTGGGCTCAGGGCTGGGCTCATCAAGGGATCGGGAAAGCCTGCTTTGGCTCTATTACACAAAGCTGGTTACAAAAAATCACACCCTAGCAATTTATGAAGTAATGAATATGTTAAAATGTCAAAGAAATTGTGAACTGCACTGAGCAAACTTTTCTTTCCAAACCAGTCCTACCTCTGAGAGTACAGGGTCACATTTTCCAAACCAAGACAGAGTTAAATGTCTCCAATTTTGCTGCTGCTTACAGAGATTTTGCCCATTTTGCCCAAACAGCAGAGTTACGCTTGTAGCAATGCAAAGCCCCCACGAATCAGGTGGGTGGATATTTTCTAACCAAAATTTGCAAACCCAAAAGCAGGACTTGGCACAGTATTTCAGCGGTGCAGTAGAGTAGCACAAAAAGAAGCTTTTGAAGGTGCCGTAACCGAAAAGACCGCACCGATGCTCAGCAGCCAGGGACTGGTCGAGCTCCGCGGAGCAGCTTCCAGCGAGCAGAGGACAACACTGACTGAGCAACGACAGCCCTGCAAATCCAAGCAAGATTTTGCTTTAACTGACCCCTCTGCCAACAGGGAAAATTGCTGCAAAGCCAAACCCGGGCTCAGTTTTCACCAGCTGCTTGTTTTTTTCCAAACCCCTGTTTCTGACAGAGATTTTCCTCCTTCCCAGTTCAGTTTCATACAGACTATCCAGATCTTCAAAGAGAGAGGCTGCATTGGGTCTAGTCTGAAAACACGCTATTTTGAACCTGACTGTGGGGGCTTCCTGTGGATTTACAACCGTCATGCGGTTTGGTGGCTCCCTTGGTGTCCAAATCCAATGTTTCCAGGATGCAAATCCACATAAAATCCACATAAAATCCATCACAACCTGCGCAGATGCAATGTGGTTCTGCGATCCCTGCCCTGTCATTGCTCAGGAGCATCTCTGGTCCCACCATAGGACCACGCGTCCATCGCAAGGGGCACCTCTGCCCCTCCAACCCCAAATCCGCACTGAACCTTCGTAGTCGTAATGCGATTACATTAAATTGCTCAGTGCCCAAGTACACGTTTCAAGTAAAACGGTCCATCACTTACGAGCATTCCTAAAGATTAATGGCACCTTGTAATTTAACTGAATTATTCCCCTATTATCTACTAGAATAAATGGAAAGGGAGCAGAGTTTCTAAGTAAATGTAACATGATAGCCCTTTCCTGTTTTCTATGAACTTTCTCCTCCCCATCTTTTATCTGCACTGCTAAGCACCGAAAACTTGCATCTGCTGTGCTAAGGAAGGAAGTTGGACCACATCTGGAGTGGTTATAGTGAAAGGTATTCAGTGGCTACAAAGCGAGAGAGACTATAGCTTTTTTAATAACCGAAAAAAGCTTTGCTGGGTAAAACCTTTGTGCTGGTGGATGGCTTTTCCCCCTCTTTTTCATCTCACTGCAGTAGGACTTTGAGGGGTGTAGGTAACACGGCTCACAGAAATAGCTTTGTTATCTCCGACTCATCCCTTCGCTGCCACTTGCTCTGTTCCCTGCCGATGGCCACGGCACCCGGTGCCACAAATTACCTGTGCTGTGGTCAAAGCCTGCTGATGCCTGGGGGGGGGCAAAACTCAACAAAACCAAGAGTCACCCAACAGGCTCAGAGGGGTTGAGCCAGACACCCATGTTAACCTTCCACAGCTCACCTGAATGAGCAAGGGGTGGCCTCGTTTCAGGTGGCAAATTATTTAGGGTATGGAGGCAAAAGGAGATGAAAGGGAGCCCGCCACTACCACTACCCACACGTGGCTTTCTGCAGCGGAGGAGAAAGTCAGAGATCCTCCGTTTCTGCTGCTGGGACCATGGAGCCAGCGTGTAACTGCTGAAACATGCAGCCAGAGGGGCAGCTCTAGGCTTGAAACTCGAAATTAAGATTCTTTATAACCCATCTTTTCCATTCCAAAAGACCTTTTTTTCTAATGAGGAGACAAATGTCAGGCTTGAGTCATTCTTTTGTGAAATGCAGCTCTGAAATGGAGTGCTCTATTTTAAGAATTGCCACCTACCACAAGGGACTTGAAGGATGCGATGGCTTTCAAAACCTCTTCGTGATCTGCATGCGCCTCCTAGTGAAGGGAGAGAAAAACCCCTCAGCCCCCAGTAGCAGCACCCACTGCCCCGGCGCACCCAGGGCTGCAGAGCTCACAGGGTGCTGGGGGCCGTGGGGCTCAGGCAGCATGGGCTGCAGGAGGGGGGCAGAATCCCCCAGGTTGTCTTCCTCACCACCCTGTTCAGTGTGACATGGTTTAAAGCAGCTATGCAATTCTTTGATACAGATTTAATGAGTGTAAAATGGCCAGAGCAAGAGCAGATACGATTTTACTTTGCACAAACTTGGCTTGCAAAGAAAATCAATCAGAACAGGCAGAGGTGCAGGGTGGGTCTCTGGTTTCCCCTTGGGGAAGGAAGCTTCCATTGGTATGCAAAGTATTCCAGCCGTTGCCCCATCGGGATGCAGTTTCCATGAGCATCAATGGAAGCTTCACCTCCAGGTTTCAGGGAGGGCACGTCTGAGCAGGGAGGAGGGGAAAAGGGGATGCTGTCCCTCACCTCTGACTGCTGCTGCCTTCTGGTACTCTCCCAGCACCTCCTCCTGGGCATCTAGGGCCCTGCATCATAAGCTCCTCACCATCCAGACGTCATGCCAAGCAAACCCCAAGGTGTCGAGGCTGTGATGGAGCTGTCCCTGTGGCTGTTGGCAGCTGCCTGGGATCGCTCACCTCTGAACCCAGGACAAGCGCTGCCCTGAACATGCCTGCCCCCTCTCCAGCTGCCCAGCAGTGCAGGGAATGCTATGGTGTACATCCACACTGCATACATCTATACTGCATACATCCGTACTCTTCCCCCAGCACCGCAGCTTAAGCCTCAACCCTACTGATTCATGCAACAAAAACTCCCACGCTCAGCTTAGAAACCGAGAGAAACAGCTGATGTGTGCGTCCCCAAATCCACTGCTGACCCCAGAGAGCATCCTGCAAAGAGCAGGCTGGCTCTGTGAGGGCACGGTGACTGCCGCCAAGCTCAGCTCAGTCCCTGCAGCTCAGCCAAGCCAGGTGAGAGTGGGACAGCTCAGGGCTGTCCTCTGCCTGCACTGCAGGCTCCTATGCCCTCTCCTATGCAGAAAAACCCTCGGCTCAAGCACGGAGGTTTTAAGCCTCTGGCTGGGACGTGGATTCGAATGATCACGGCTAAGCGTGCTGAGTAATTAACTGGTAAGTAATACTGGAAGAGGGAAAAAGCAAACCCAGCTAAAAATAGACTGTTACTTCTGTTTTCTTCACCTCCCTGCACCACCCCTGAGGTTTGCATCCCCGCAGCTGGAGTGCACCAGAGTAGCAGAGCTCCAACCAGAAGAGATCTTTACAGTCCCCGGGAGGGGGGAGAAATGTCCTCGGGCAGATCTGCCACCTGCCGAGGAAGGCCCTGTCCCCCCTCGCTGCTCCCAGGCACTGGCTCCTCCGCCCCCGTGTCGGTGCCGGCTGCCAGATCGATGCCTGCCTGTGCAGCTCTGCCTCCACCCAGGAGCAGAAGCCTCCGGCGAGGGGTGGGGATGTGCCTGCAAGCCGCAGGAGCGAGCAGCCGGGGATAGGAATCTCATAAAATGATAATAAAAACACTGATTTATTACCCGCTGTGCAAATACCAGCTGTAGCCTGACCCTGAAGTCAGCTTTTACTTGTTCTGGAAATGGCCCGTCTTTGAGGAGGGGCTGGGGTGAAGAGCAGGGAATGCCTTCCCACAACATCCCCCAGGCTCCCCCGCTTTCCCACTTTTAATCTGAAAGGTAGGTAACGTCCCACGGAGGTGGAACACCTCCTTGGAGGGGTGGTAAGTGGTGCTCAAATACCAATTAGCAATGTGGTGCTCAAATACCGGTGGGCAGAGGTACCTCCTGCAGCTCGGGGTGGGGGCAGCTCTTGCAGCATCAAGGGGCACAGCCTGCCCAGCAGCCCCACACCCCACCTACCTCCATGTGCCGCTCCAGCTCCTGCAGCAGTGTCACATATTTATCCAGCCTCAGGAAGGGTTTGCTGAGGCTCGTGGTTAAGATGAGGATGCCTGGGTTGGCCGCACCCTGGCTCTCCATGAACTTCTCCAGCTCATCACTATAAATAGAGATGACAACAAGAAGGGGGGCTTGCCATGCTCTCCTGATGGCCAGGGCTCTGCTCCAAACGGTGCCTTTTTAAAGGCAGCCCAGCCTCCCCTCCAAGCACCCCCTGCCAGCATCCTGGCAGGGCAGGCAGGGAGCTGCCAGCCTCCAGCCAAGCAAGGTCCCGGCTCCCCGGGGGTGCAGGGGAGGATGCTGCGTGGTGGCGGGTGTTGGTGGGCACAGCCCCCCGGGGAACAGTGGTGCTAGCAGCTGGTCCCCCAGCACAGCGAGGTGGCATGGGGCCAGCATGCCTGGTGGACAGCGGGGGCTGCAGAGGTGCTGGAGGATGCTGCAGCAACACGCCAGGGCCCTGCTGGGAGCCAGGACGCTGCTGTGAGCTCGTACATAGCTCTGGAAAACACGGCTTGCGTGTGTCAGCACATTTGCCAAAGCTGATTCTTTGATTGATTTAAGAAAAGGGGTCAGACTGAGGAACCACATGAATAAGTCATTTACAGGAGCCAGGCTTTTTGTTAAGCTGAATTAAAGCTGGATTTCAGCAGGTAAGTAAATATATTGTGAGTTCCCCTTACAGAATGGGAAGACTTAAACAGTCTGGCCGGGGTCCTGGCTTTCCCATCACTGCAGGGAGGACAGCTAAGCCGCATTAGGGATGACACCGTTGCAGCCTTTTGGCTTGGCGTGCTCTTTAGCATGACATTATACAAACTCAAGTGTCTACTCAGGCAGGACACATTGAAGGAAGATGTTATTACTGCAATCTACCAATGACCTTGCAAATCAACCATGTGGTTGAACAGCAGCTCTATTATTAAACGGGGTAGTTCTGGGTGACTTGATGACCACCCTCCTTTTGCAGTGATGTGCCCCACACCGTAGTGCCACAGGAGAACATGGTCCCATCTGCCGGAGCGTGAGCACTTCAGCAGCGGGTCTGAAACAGCATCTGGGTCCTTTAGCAAGTTACAATCACAGGAGATGCTGCTGCAAGGGCTGAGGTTGCTTCTGTTTTATCCAAGGTAAGAGTCCTCTATGTGCAGACAGGACCCATGAGACCAGCTCTGAAGGTGAGCAGCACAAGCTGTGTCCGTGCTGGAGCTGAGAGGCTACGTGGAAGAGCCCAAAGCCCCAGCAATTTTCCCAGCAGCAGGATCCCATGTTATCCCCCTTGCTCTATTGTCAAAATACAGGTCTAAAGCCATGCCAGGCCGAGTATGAATAATAAAAGTAACTTTTTAAAGGAGGGATTTCAGTCTGCATCTCCTCCATCACTCACCTGTGCTGCGTGAGGACGTTGACTGCAGACGGGTGGTTAGCACAGTACGTCAGGTACAGGGACCTGAACTGGGGCATCAGGTTCATGAAACAGCCTCCCACGCGCTGCTGGTTCTCGGGGAGCCTACGGACACCAACACACCAGCCACAACGTTAGGCCTCTTGATCTGCACCCTGCAGCTACAGCACCCTCCGGTGTCTGCCCAGGAGCCACCAGCTGCATGGGGACATTCCCAGGGCACCCCGTAACTGCAGCCCCAAGCAAAATACCCATGCCTGCCACTTGGGAAGGAAGAAGAAGATGGTCCTCATACGGGACCGGCTTTCTGTGGCGCAGGCAGTGAGTATCACAACCCGGTGTCAGCCTGGGACGGGGTATGACCCCGCCTGTCCTGTCCCACCAGCAGAGCTGCAGCTGAGATGCCGCAGCCCACGGCAGCTGATGAGGATGCGCTGGAAAGCACTGGGTGCAATGGTGGTCCTGCTGTCTGGGCTGCTCACGAATACGAGAGAGGAGACGGGAGAGAGAGAGGGAAGCCGCAGCCTGGATACATTTCCAATGTAGTCTTTTCCCCATCTCTTTTCAGCCCTTCCAAAGGAGAGGCTAGGCTAAGGCTGAACATGTGTGGCACCCTCCCTGTGGGAAATTATTACCTCTAATAACTTGCTGTTTGCTCCTTGACAATCCCCACCTTCATGCCTGCCAGATCTCCCACCCTGCATGTGTCTGCATCTTTGGTCTAGTGACACTTTCACGTCAGGTCTAGCGACACTCTCATGTTTCAGCAGATGCCTTAACAGTAGAAATGTCAGGGTGCCTTCTATCTTCCCTCCCGCGAAAGCACTACCTGCTGCCTTTCTTCAGTCCTGGTATTTTCTTCTATATTTAACAAGTCTAAGACAGCAGCCAGGAGAAACATTAATGAACATGTCTTTCTATTATTTTTATCTGCAGTTTAATAGCTTAACACCTTCAGCGCTATGGCATGGGCTTACTTTGCAACTTCCTCCAAGGCTTGGTTCAGTGTTTGCTGAAATGCAGAGATTTCTTCCACGTTTCCCAGCAATGACGCGATGTCCACGGCGCTGAGCCTAGAAGAGTCAAATCGCTGATTAGCCTCAAAGAGATGTTGCCCTCAGGAGCACCCCCATGGCATCTGTAAGCTGTCCTTCCAAAAAGACCCAAGCATTTCTCCTTCCCCAGGTACACCATCAGACACGGGAAAACACAAAATCCATGATCTGTGAGCTGCATACCACAGCCTCCTGGAGAAGATGTCTGCTGTCAAGGATTATCTTAATTGGATTTTAATCACTTAATCACGCTAATCTTCTCAGATGTTTAGCTGTCTAATAGACACAGACAGATGGGATTTCAGCCAGGGGTGGGGAGGGAGGTGTGTGCACAGACACAGAGACAGCTTTGTCTTCAGGGACTCATGCTGCAGGTTTCCCTATGGGAGGAGGGTCCTACAGAGCAGCCCCTCAGGTAGGGCTTGCTTTGTTCCTGGAGTGAGGTTGGATTTTTTTCTAGCCAAAACTAATGTACCTGCTTCTGTCATCCTCAGAGCAATCCTCAGAGTCACCCTCGTACCACCCTCATTTAAGGCATTTGCTTAATGCCAAGGGCGAGAGCATGAGAAATTTTCACAGCTGAATACATCCGACGTGAAAAAAGGGGGAAGGAAGGCGAGATTTAAATACAAAGGCCTTAAGACACCACTCTCCCATCTCTCCAGACTGGGCAATGTCTAAATGCCTGCCCTCCGCCCGTGATGCCCTGGGGGGGCCCGGTCCTCCCGCAGCATGTTCAGCCGGAGGGACCCTGGCCCCAAACACAGCCGCCCGGACGGGGCCACCAAGCTGACACCGTTCGGAAGAGACGACCGTAAAGCTGAAGCAATAAGCAGGAGGTGAAGGTATGCAGGGTGACACCATGGATAGGACTCTGCCGAGAGGCACCAGCGCGCTGCCCGTCCCTGCCCGGGAGGGGACAGGACGGCGGGTGCTGCCTCTGGCATCGCACTCGCCAGCACAGATGGAAAACACATCGGCTGATTTCCACAGGGAAGCGCTGACGAAGTCCCCCAGTCTCCCC